TACAAAATAACTTCAATTCAACATTATTATTTATTTATTTTTATTTTTTTTTCTCTTTTTCCAATCATTATGTACACTTTCATTCAGCTGAGCAGTGAGACCCTGGTGGAGCTGCTGGACCTGGACGGGCTGCCATAGGAAGCCTGGTGTGGCATTATCTGGGATAGTCTCCAGAGTGTTTGAGTGCATATTTCCACTGTCCAGCAGTGAGGTTCAGGTTTATCCTGCAGTACAGGGGTCTGGTCTGATTTAAGGAAATGAGGAAAGCACTAATTATGTAGAGCTATGAAAAAGTAATTGGTGGAAGAAATATGAGTTACTTCAGTAAAATACTTTCAGTAACTACTATTAGCACATTGAGGGAAAAATGCATGCATTTTAAAACCTTAAGTAAAAGTATTATCCTTCATACTGTAATGTACTTAAGGTATGAAGCGTAAAAGTAGCCTATGTATTCTGCAGAAACAACTATATATGATGGTCTTGCATTAGTATTACTGCTTCACTACAGTGTACTGTATGTTGCATTTTACTTCTGAATATGTTCAAGGTTGTTACATTTAAAATACTTTATATAGGCCTACTGTTGGGCAGTTTAATGAACAACAGTGCATGATATTGTAAAGGACCATGTTTTTGTATTGTAGCTGTCCTGAGAAAAAAATATCATTTGTATGTGAATACTTATGGAATGTATTTCGTTACACTCCACCACTTTGTTATTTTGGAGATGAAACAAATAAAGTTTATTGCTAAGTTGCTACAACTGCAAACCATATCAAGGCTGCTTTCGAAGCACTCGGACCGGTCTAGCCTACGGAGGACTCTTCTTGTTGCCTAGCAACTTTGTCAGCTGCAGTAGACGAGTGGCAGTAATGTTTGTAAGTTAACTTTTTATATTCAGCTGCATAAAACTAAACCGGGTTGAAAACCTGTTTAAATATGTTCACCATGGCCCATTTATGTACATAATAATCAATAATGGAATAAACAACAAATCACATTTTGGTAAGATGTAAGTCGACATTTAATCTCTTTATATTTTGTATTTTTTCACGTCATTACAATATTAAAGTAAGTCTTACATTTAAAGTGTAATTCGGTAATTAAAAGTCAAGAACTAACAATTCAGGTTCCAGTTATTTTCGTTTTCATTAACAAATAACATATATGGCAGCTCTCTTCTCGCACCGTTGCCACGCGACAGGCGCATTAATCGGGAACACCTGCTGGCGCAATCAGGAAATTCTGCGAAGGCTAGACTCGGAGCGTCCTCCGAAGGATGCGGTCTTTGAATTGGGACACAGCTATGGACTTCCTCTCTCTCACTGCCGAGTATTGTATAGCATTTATCACTCTCATAGCAATAGCTACTCTACGGAGCCTGTCTAGTTTTCATAGCCTTATCTTCGTTTTGCCTTGTCTGTTTTCTCGTATCCTGATCTTTGCCTGTGTTTCTCAGATTCCTTCTCTCGTCTTGCCCTATTCGGATACTGTTTGCCCCTGCCTGGACCTTTGCCTTGTACATGGATTTATCCCTCTAGTCTCGCCCTGTTGATTCTGTTCGCTGATCGTAGACCCACGCTAGCCCTAGGAATTTTCTTGTGTCTTGCCCTTATATACCTGTTGCCATTGTCTGACCCTTGCCTGTTTCTAACCATGTCTGTTAATAAAGCTTTGCACTTGGATCCGCACGTCTCGTCAGCCCCGTAACAGTATAATTAAGTCAGAAATGCAAAGCTCACGTACAGTATAAAACATAAGCAGCATGGCTAGTTAACATAAAGTAACTATGATAAATAATTCTAAAACAAGTATTAATCTTAGTTATTTTTTAAGTTCAACATCTACCTCACTATGTGGGAATATTTGCATAACGCCGCCCAAAAGTGCTGTGGATCACCGGATCAGCTTTCACCGTTTTCACTGCTCCTTCACCGGGACCGCCGTTCTCGACCCCGTCGCCTCAGCTCACTCTTGCCTGGCTTCAGCTCACGCTAAGCCGAGACTTTCGCTCATGCTAGGCCGCTGTGTTTTTCATTGTGAAAGCGAAAATACTTTGTTTGGTCTTCCAAAAGAGGACGATATCTGCTTTGTCATGCCTGGAGCTGATCTGTGCTGGTCGCTGAGGGAATACATCAACTTAGTGCTGTGGATCGCTGGCACATTTTATGGAGGACTGTTTACTGATCCTGGGAGAGTAACGTTAGACTAAAATGCCGGCAGTTCTGACTCATGTAAGTACGTTTTCTTTTATCATTTGCCACTGATGACTCAAACGCAAGTTTTGGGCAGTAGAGTAGCACTTGTTGTTTGTCATTTCTCTGATCACAAATGCAGACAGAGTTTTATGTTTACGATGCAATGCAACGCAACGCGTAAAAAGACAGTATAAGTCATTATAATTGGTAATTATGTCCCCACTGGATGCAACAAATGCCTCGTTTGTAATGGGTTTTAATGTTTTTGTGTCGTCGCTCCGGCTGGGACATGCCATCACAGTATGGTGAGGGGCGTAAAATTTCCGTCTCATGCTTAAGGTATTCGGCCAATCACAACGCACTGGACAGCTGGCCAATCACAGCACACCTCGCTTTTTCAGACCGATGAGTTTTGTAAAAATCGATGAGTTTCAAAAAGGCGGGGCATAGAGGAGAAACAATAATGTACAGTATATGGAAAATAATGTGTTTTTTTTTACTTTAAACCGCATAAACACATTTCATTACACCAAATACACCAAATAATGTTCTTTTTAGCAGCATCATATGACCCCTTTAAGGCACAGATCTATGGACTTGAGGGGAAAGTGGACACACACCTGAGGATAGCCATGTTCATCAGATATCTGGAACAGGTAAATGTTTTCTTTCAAAGATTTCTTCTTCAGCAACAAGGTGAAGACCAGGGTGAACTCCTCTGGAAGTCCATGAGGAAACACTTGACTGAGGAGACAAGCATGCGGTTAGACTGCAGTACACGTACAAACAAATAAACATGGAGCAGGTGGGTTGTAATAGTAAAGAAACAGTCTGAATGCTAGCAGAAGTGGGAGTATCTCTGTAATAATGGTGCTGTGGATACAGATATAGGGATAACCCCCTGACACTCATTTTGAAAAGAATTGCAGCTCAGCAAACCTCATCTTCATTCTCAACTTCTATCTCTCACTAGATAAACAGTTTGCCTGCCTCTTGGTGGGTCAAGGGCAGGCAAACTCCAGGAATGTGTTTACCATCCCAAATACACACACGCACACACATACTGTAGACTCAGTACTGGAGTTTATTCACACACAAGTCATGGAACAACGGGAAGCTGATCATAAGCACATAAACATGCATAAATAACACGCACAACAATGAGCAGGTAGCGTGTTTGTCTCTAAACAAGATGACAATGATTTATAACAGAGATCTGGAATCCAAAGTAATAACAGTGAGGCTGGCCTCCTCAAGGAAAAAATTAAATCGGGACTAAACACGAGAGAGAGAGAGAGAGAGAGAGAGAGAGAGAGAGAGAAAGAAAGAGAGAATGAAACTTGCACTTTTGCACAGGATGAAACTTGTTATGACAGGAAATGAGTTGCATATCCCTTTTGAAGATTTCTTGTTGATATTGCTCAACAAAACTACTCCACTGAAAGGGCCATCATAAATCAAATATTAATGATTTTTTATTTCATTATTAGAGTTCAATTTAGCAGGTCTATTGAGAATAGAGGTGCATGATTGATATATTGGTGGCAAGTAACTAGGAAAGTTCAATTATTGTTATCAATGGAATTAATGGAATTACAGCCAATATGTTTAGCCAATATTTTATTGTGGCAGTTTTTTCACATGATTTTTTACAATATGTGTGACCTAAACTACCTCATGTGCATGGTGTACTGTAAATGCATTACACCATGCACTACACACTATAAAACTGCAGTGTTTTTAGCCAAATTTGTGTCACGTTGCTCTGTGATCATTATCTTGAGAATTACACTTTGTTGTGATATGTTTGGGCACATTTTAATTGGCATCATCTGCTAAAAGTGACAAAATCCCATTTTTTATTTTTGTTAATATTTCTTTAAAATAGCTATTTTAAAATATTATATATTTTTTAATAGCTTTAACTCTTTTGAAATGTATTGCGTTTAAACCAATGTCACTTTTAAATCAATGGACCAATCAGAATCTAAGAAATAAGCATTTTTTATACAGACAAGCCATGTGTTTATATTAGCAATAATGTATAGGAGCTAATACTCCACTACTGTCAAGTGGATTTTAATGGACAAACGGCTCTTCTTCTTTCTTTTTTTTTAAGAAATGTTATGCATCATGAGTTCCATAAAAATATCAAGCAGCACACTTTGTTTTCAACAATGATAAAAATAAGAAATGCTTATTGAAGCATATCATAATTATTTCTGAATGATAATTCAATCAAATACAATTATTTATAATTGTAAGAGCTGCTTAAAATTTTATTTAAATTTTAATAATATTTCACAATAATACTTTGTTGTATTTTAAATGAAATAAATATAGCCTAGGTGAGCACTACTTTCAAAAACATAAACAAATGGTACTCTATGTGAATAAATCTAATATGCTTGTTGTATTCTACTAGCTGAGACCTTTTTATTGATATATAATACATAACATGATTTGTGTTATATTCTTAGTAAATACTGTTATGATTATTATGATCCTATTTCAGACGTGTTGGTCATATCGCCTATATTAATTGTTATTAATAAAGTTTTTTTTTTAAATTGCTAAAGTTCAGAGCTTTTAAAATCGTTTATTTGGTGTCAAGCGGGCAGTTTTTAATTAATTAGCTAATTACTTAGAAAAACCACAAAGCTTCATTATCAGCATCAGCCACAAAAAGACGCTGATTATCAGTTATTCTTATCAGCCCCCAAAATTTGTTGTACTTCTTCTTGGACACAAATCCAAAGACCTGAGTAAACACACTCAAACCTATACACTCCATCTCTCTCCCAGGTGAGGTGAAATTTAAGATAAAGGAATGCAATGTTAGACAGTTCTATTACAAGCCAAGTCTAAGCTAAGAGAATGACTAACACAGAGGTGGCCGTACAATTTAAACACCATCTGCTGCTATCAAATATCAGAGACCAGCTGACAAGACTTTACATTGAACTTTATCTCAAAGACAATGTAGGAGACCATTTATAGAGGACATATACCCCCCCCCCCCCCCCCCCCCGCACCCCCACCCCGCCGCGCCCCGTCGCC